ATTTAAATATATTATAATTTATTAAAAAAATAAAAAAAAATTATTATTTTGAAACAAATAAAGTAAAAAAATTTTTAAAAAATCACAATCATTCTAAACAAAATCTTATTGTATTTTCTCTTTGTTTTAGGCAAACTTTACTTTTTATCACACTCCACCGTTTGCCTAATGTTATTCAAATTCAAAACTTTTTATTTTCACTAAAAAAAAATTTGTAGCATCAATTAAATTTAGCAACTTGTAATATTTTAGACCAACGAGGGGTTAGATCAAATGGTAAGCGACTTGTTCCAGCTTAAACAAGATCTCGAGTTCGAGACCTTGTGTACGCAGCAATCTTCGTTGAGAGACCCACTCACCATTCTAGTGCGCCACAGTTGGTCGAGTCTGGACTAGTCGAGACGAAGCCCCGGATACCGGATGGGGAACCAAAAAAAAAAAAACTTGTAATATTTTAGATGTTTGGTTAACATTTGAAGAGTTCTACCCACTTAAAAAAAGGTTGAATATGGTATGGAAACTTAAGCTGTTGATTGTTTCATTGTTAGAACAAACTTGAGTACTTGCAATTATTGGATGCTCCAATGCTTAATTGGCGTTGATATTGTTTTCAAATTTCCTTTTAAAAAATAACATGATTTAGAAAATAAAAGAAAGAAAGAAAAATATGGTGAAGTTCAAACTGGCATGGACTGTATATCCTGTCCTCGCTTATAGACCATGATTGCCCTACTCCGTCCTCTTAGCTCTTGTCAAACAATCACCTGGTTTTGGAACAAAGACCATCTTCTTTAGAAACCAACATGGAGAGCATCCAATCCAGGGCTAGTCCATAATAATAATGTCAAGAGGGGGATGAGATACAATTCAACGAAGCACAGAACTACCAGTGACAGGCTACCTGTCAATCTAGTTCTAGCTACAGAATTTAAGAGGTAATCAATAGCTTTTGCGTAACAATCAACCTGCAAACAATCAACGAAACATGTATAGAAAAGAACTAGCACTGCTGCACCAGAGTGGCACAAGAATCAATAGAAGATGATTTGGCAATAACACGAGAGTCTTCTGAGATTTAACGTTCTTTAATTGCAAAACATCTAAAGAAAACAAAACCACGATAAAGAAACAGGAGTTTAATCGAAATACCAAACTATGAATCTAATCAAGGTTCAGAATTACTGCAACAAGTCAAAATTAATATGAGAGGCATCCCAAAAATCTAACAGCAACCCACTAAGACAGAGCTCACTTTCCACCCTTCTTGGCAGCAGACTTGGTGACCTTGGCACCAGATGGATCCTTCTTCTCAACATTCTTGATGACACCAACAGCCACAGTCTGACGCATGTCTCTGACAGCAAAGCGTCCAAGAGGTGGGTACTCAGAGAAAGTCTCCACAACCATGGGCTTGGTGGGAATCATCTTCACCATTCCTGCATCACCATTCTTCAAGAACTTGGGCTCCTTCTCAAGCTCCTTGCCAGACCGTCTGTCAATCTTAGTCAGGAGCTCAGCAAATTTGACGGCAATGTGGGAGGTGTGGCAGTCGAGCACTGGGGCATATCCATTTCCAATCTGCCCAGGGTGGTTCATGATGATGACCTGTGAGGTGAAGTTGGCAGCTTCCTTGGCAGGATCATCCTTGGAGTTGGAAGCAACAAAGCCACGTTTCAGATCCTTAACAGCAACATTCTTCACATTGAACCCAACATTGTCACCAGGGAGAGCCTCCTGGAGGGCCTCGTGGTGCATCTCAACAGACTTAACTTCAGTGGTGAGACCAGAAGGACCAAAGGTCACAACCATACCAGGCTTAAGGACACCAGTTTCAACACGACCAACTGGGACAGTTCCAATGCCACCAATCTTGTAGACGTCCTGAAGGGGAAGACGGAGTGGCTTGTCCGAGGGCCTCTTGGGCTCCTGGATCAAGTCCAGGGCCTCAAGGAGGGTAGGACCCTTGTACCAGTCAAGGTTGGTAGACCTCTCAATCATGTTGTCACCCTCAAAACCAGAAATGGGGACAAATGGGATCTTCTCAGGGTTGTAACCAACCTTCTTCAGATAGGAAGAGACTTCCTTCACAATTTCATCATATCTTGCCTTGGAGTATTTTGGAGTTGTAGCATCCATCTAAACACAACAGAAAACAAATATTAGTTCAAGCAACAATTTCAAACCTCAAAAGGGCAATTACAAACAGAAAAATGAAAAATGATATTACAGATATGATACCCCTTGAGTAAGTCACAAATCTCACCTTGTTGCAGCAGCAAATCATCTGCTTCACACCAAGGGTAAAGGCAAGCAAAGCATGCTCACGGGTCTGACCGTCCTTAGAGATACCAGCTTCAAAACCACCAGTGGTGGAATCAATAATGAGAACAGCACAGTCAGCCTGTGAGGTACCAGTAATCATGTTCTTAATAAAGTCACGATGCCCAGGAGCATCAATGACGGTGCAGTAGTACTTGGTAGTCTCAAACTTCCAGAGAGCAATATCAATGGTAATACCACGCTCACGCTCAGCCTTTAGCTTGTCCAACACCCATGCATACTTGAATGACCTTTTGTTCATCTCAGCAGCTTCCTTCTCGAACCTCTCAATCACACGCTTGTCAATACCACCCAACTTGTAGATCAAGTGACCAGTTGTGGTCGACTTGCCAGAGTCGACATGGCCAATGACCACAATGTTAATGTGAACCTTCTCCTTACCCATTATAAAACTTGGATAATAGTCTGAAATCAATAACAAAATCAGTATGATTTTCAAGGACCAAAAACACTTCAGATCTATGTATAAATCTTCATATCACGGAGAAAAAAGTGCAAAAATAAAAAATAACTCAGAATTGTCTGCTTAACAAAACAGATCTAAATGTCATATTTGCTACTACAGAAGAAAACTTTACAAAGAAATACATCTCAACAATCAACCCGCAGATCCAAATCAAACAGCAATACTCATCAAGTTCCCAGACAGAAATCGAAATGAAAGCAGTTCATAGATGGACATCAAAATCAAATCGTTTGACAATGAAATAACATCTAAATAATGGAAGAAATTTCAAAAAGAAAGAAATGAAAGAAAATGAACAGATTATGCAGATCTAAAAACCAAATCAGATTAGCTCTACAAGAAATGATGAAGAAGATGAGGGTACCTGTAAGCTAGAGGGGAGAGATGAAATCGCTTGAGCTTGACCAGAAGCTTCTGAGGAGAGAGTGAGCGTAGGCAGCTTGCGGAAATGGCAGTGTTTCGCGGCTGCTCTGCTTTAAGTACTGGTGTTGGAGGTTTTGCTTCAATTAGGGTTTCTGGGCCAGCCGTCGGATTACTTGATCGAACGGTCCAAGAGAGAGAACTAACCTCAGCCGTTAGATTTTGATACTTTTGATCGTGCGTACGAGTTTCTTCCACGTGAGACTTGATGCTCTTATATTTCGTGAAATTCCTATGTTATCCTTGAACTTTGGACGCCGACACCAGATTCCTTAGCGAACAAGTACATAATAACCTTTTCTAAATGTCAA